ACGGCAGGCTTAATACATACAGTTTCACATTTGGTGGTACTCAGATTGTTTTACATCCTGCTCCTTCTCGCCCTGTGCCGCCTCCTCCTGCTTCGATTGTTCTCTTTCTGTCGGGGCGGCTTTTGTCGAGGAGATGCGGTGAGCCGACTTCGTCCTTTTACTTGTGGGCTCGGATAGGTCGGTTGATTGCGAAATCCCACCCATTATGCAACCACTGTTGACTGAGTTTGCCGACGTGTTTCCTACCGACCTTCCTACAGGATTGCCTCCTTTGAGGGATATTCAGCATCATATAGACTTGGTCCCGGGAGCCTCTCTTCCTAACCGGCCGCACTACCGCATGAGCCCAGTGGAACACGAGGAGCTTCGCAGACAGGTGGAGGAACTCTTACAGCGAGGAGTGGTGCGTCGGAGCCTTAGCCCGTGTGCCGTCTCGACACTGTTGATTCCAAAGAAGGACGGGGCATGGCGTATGTGTGTTGACAGTCGGGCTATCAACAAGATCACGGGCAGGTATCGCTTTCCCATTCCTCGATTGGATGACTTACTGGACCAGCTACACGGTGCCACTGTCTTCACCAATTTGGACCATCGTAGTGGCTACCATCAGATTAGAATTCGACCGGGCGATGAGATGGAAGACGGCCTTTAAGATCCGAGAGGGCCTTTTCGAGTGGATGGTCATGTCGTTTGGTCTCTCCAACGCGCCGAGCACGTTTATGCGCATCATAAACCAGACTTTACGTGATCTTATCGGGCGGTGTGTCGTCGTTTATTTCGACGGCATAGTTATATATAGTCGTTCGATCGAGGAGCATTTGGAGCATGTGCGGGCGGTTCTTCTTATATTGCAGGCTGAGTCTTTCTTTGCAGCACCTCATAAGTGCTTTTTCCTGGTCTACTCGGTCATGTTCTTGGGCTTCCTAATTTCGACAGAGGGTATTCGTATGGATGAAAGCAAGGTGAAAGCTGTTCGGGATTGGCCTATACCGACCTCCTTCATGGAGGCTCGCAGTTTTCATGGGTTGACCTCATTTTATCGCCGTTTCATTTCGCATTTTAGCACATTGATGGCCCCGATTACTGACTGTCTCACGGAAAAGACTTTCTCGTGGACCGAGGCAGCTGCTCAGGCATTCGACCTTATCAAGAAGAAACTGACGTCGGCACCGGTTCTTTTCTTACCGGATTTTTCTAGGCCCTTCGAGCTTTCATGCGATGCCTAGAAGGTGGGGATTGGGGCTGTCCTTAGCCAGGATGGGCGTCCAGTCTCTTTCTTTAGTGAGAAGCTTTCAGGCCCGAGAGCGAGGTACAGTACATATGATGTTGAATTTTATGCTGTTGTTCGTGCAGTTCGCCATTGGCGGCACTACCTTTTTCACAGGGAGTTCGTGTTGTACACTGATCATAAGGCTCTTCGTCACTTAGCCTCTCAAGATAACATTTCGACGAGGCATGCTTCTTGGACTGCGTTCCTTCAGCAGTTTACTTTTGTCCTACGCCATCAGTCGGGTACTT